CGAGTTTTGAAAAATATGTAGGTGCTTCCCACGTGAACAAAATAATAATAATAATAATAATAATAATAATAATAATAATAATTAGGGACAATTCAGGAAACAGCAGGCAGATTAATTAAACCAAAGGAAAGGTTGTGCGGGGTGCAGGGGAAGGGGGCAAAGACCATCAAGAGAAAGGACTTGGGTTTCCTTCTAGAGAGAACCATTGGCCCCTGTGAGGGTTTTTTCCTTGTTGATATTTTGCCTCCTTCCAGCATTGAAGAGTCTTAAACAGAGGGATGACTTGGTCAGAACTGCATTTCAAAAAGATCCCTCTGCCAAAATTGGAGCTCCCTGTATCCCTTGCCCAATTATGACTGTATTCAGGCATAATTCCAAAAGCCTCTACTGCCCTCTTTCTAAAAATAGTTAGTCTTTCTTTTGGGGGCACATAAGTTTGCAGCACGATCATTCAGGAGGAACTATGCATGTTTCAATTCCTTGAGACTTATACTGTCCCCTGACTGCACGTCTTCAGCTTTTTTGTCCAGTTTCATAAGTCAAATGACATCCTGTGGCAGATCTCATGGGGTCATGGGAGGAGATGAAGGACATCTTGTGGACTAGAGCCTAGGTGTTGTTCATCTCAGCTCCAGGTCTTTCATGTTTGGACAGAAACCCAGCATCCACAACAGTGAGGTGGGACAGTATGAGTATCTGGCCACTACGATTGTTTTGAGGTTTAAGTTAGTTAATATTATGCATCGCACTTGGAAGAGTCCTTGAAACATGATGAGCACTATATGTAGTGTTTGGTATTCTCTCTGACCAACACAGATTCAACTTCTAGAGTTGATCAAATAAATTGAGTTTCGGTGGAAGAAAAACATTTAAGTGTATACACTGTGTGTGTATGTCCCCATTTCCCTCTGAGCCAGCTTGGGGCATATACATACTTACACTCTCACAGACCTACTATGTACCCAACAGAATTCCAGGTGCTATATGTGTGTTATCTCATTATCTGCACAATAAACCTACAAGATAGGAATGATTACCCCCATTTTACAGATGAAGAACACCGAAGCACAGGGAGGTTGACAGCTAAACATCAAAATGCACCTGTTTGAGCCTTCATCTCCCCCTGCACCTCAGTACCGGGAGGACAAAAATCCCATCATTTCCATCTTTGCATCCCCAAAGCCCAACACAGGGAGGGAAGGGAATACCCAGGGACTGTTTGCTGGGTCTGTATCCCTGTAAATGTTATATGGTCAAGATTAGTCTTGAAAACCCTTTCAATGTTCCACTCATGGGTCCAAAAAATATTTATTGAACACCTACTACTGGAGATAAAGTATCGGATGAAGTACAAAACCCCCGCCCCTGTGGAGCTTGGAGTCTAGTGAAGCATAACTCAATGATTAATATAATATCAGGTAGTGTTAAGGGTCAGGAAGAAACAAGGTGACATAGGGAATAGAGAGTGACAGGTACTACTTTAGATAAGGAGGTCAGAGAGTACCTTTCTGCAGAAGAGAAATTTGAGCAGAGTCTGAAAGAAGTAAGAAAACAAGACATGTGCCCATCAGGAGAAAACGTGAATGTTCCAGGCAGAAGGAACAGCACGTGTCAAGGCCCTGGAGTGGGAATAAGTGTGGATTTTGCAGAGCCCATAAAGTGAGGTATACATGGTGTTATAGCTCAGCCCTTCACAGTGAAATCTGTTGGCTACCTAGATCCCCCTGGGTGGATGCCCTTTATCATGTCCCTACACCCATTCCCACCCCACCTAGGTACCATGTGCTTTTCCTTCCAACAGCCAGCACCTGTGCCTCTCCTTCTGGAGACCTCCCCAGAATACTGAAGCACACTGAGGTGGAAAGCAGGAAGTGCCTGGGAATTGACATCTGCCCCCCTGACACCTTCTCCTTGCAGCCTTTAACCAGTGCATGGAGGAGAGGAGGCTGGGAGGGCTTCTCAGAGGTGGGAACATCTGACTGGGGCCTTGAATGATAAAGATGAGTTTGCCCTCCAGGCCTCCTCTCCTCCAGGTAGTGGACTGCTCACCTATCTAGTATGAGGGTTCATTGGATGTGTCAGTTTGATTGGGCTCTGGGATGCCCAGAGAGCTGGTAAAGATTATTTCTGATATGTTATGAGAGTGTTTCCTGAAGAGATTACCATTTGATTCCGTAAACTGAATAATGAGATCCACCCTCGCCAATGCGTGCTATAATGTATCCATTGTGGACCTGAACAGAACAAAAAGGCAGAGGAATGGCGAATTCTTTCTCTTCTTGAGCTGGGACATCCATCTTCTCCTGTCCTGGTTCTCTGGCTTTCGGACCAAGGGTCTAACAGCTGAATTATGAGAGGCCAGGAGCCAAGTGAGGCCCCCTGCTACCAGCTTTCCTGGTTTTCCAGTTTGCAGACTTCTTGATCTTCATAACCACATGAGCCAATTCCTATGAACAAATCTCCTCTTATATATTTCTATATACATCCTCACAGTTCTGCTTCTCTGGAGAACTCTAATAAATTTAGACCCCCAAGGCAACCTATACCTACTTTTTGTGGTAGGCTGAATAACGCCCCATCCACCCAAAGATCTCCACATTCTAATCCCCAGAGTCTATGAATATGATACCTTCCATACACTGTATAATATGTTACCCTAGGGTAAAAGGGACTTTGCAGATATCATTAAGGTAAGGATGTTGAAATGAGAAGATAATCCTCAATGATTTGGTGAGCCCAACGTAATCACAAAAGTCCTTATTAGAAAGAGGCAAGAGGTAAGTCAGAGGAAGGCAAAAGTAAAGACTAAAGTGATGCAGTGATTCTATGAGCTGAGGAATGCCAGTAGCTTCCAGAAGCTGGAAGAGACAAGAAATGGATTCTCTTCTTGTGTCTCCAGAAGGAACCAGCCCTGGGGATATCTTGACTTTAGCTTAGTGACACTGATTTTGGATTTCTGACTTCTGGATCTGTAAGATAATAAGTCTGTGCTACTTTAAGCTATTAAGTCTGTGGTAATTTGTTACAGCAGCCATAGGAAATTACTACATGTTTATTCTAGCACCAGTCACACTACATGGCAGGTGCCTCTTTCACCTGACTGAGGGTTCCTCAAGCCTGGGGCACCTTTGTCTAGGTGGTTTAACACAAAACCTTAAAAAGGGTCACAAAAGCTGCTGAATGAACTAACAAATGGATTTAATGGTTACTCACTTTATCTGGCTGCTTGTCTCTCTCAGCCTGAACACACACACACACACACACACACACACACACACACACACTCTTCAATTCACACAGCTCATCTGCCCATTCACCGTGATCATCCCCAGGAAGGCAGCTCAGTTCTTATGTGAAAGCCCACTTGGGGCTGGCCAGCAAATAACTATTTTTCAAGAGCATGTTGATTTTAAGGAAGATGAGGGGGATTTCTCCCAAGATAATTAGACAAATCTGCATAGATGCAGGGATGAGAAGCAGAGATTTTGATATGGTCGATTAGAAACTACAAGAATTAGGATTACAGTAGAGAAATATAAAAATCCTCTTTTCTAATAAACAAGTCATGAAAGCAAGAGACAATCCTGATTCTCACTACATGCCGATTCTTCTCCACCTCCATCTCAGCCCCATCACAGCCACGAAAATGGTGGCAAATTTTTCATTTGATGACACCAAGAGAGGTTTGCTTTATATCATTAAGGGAGAAAAGCAGATTGCAGACATTGTGATTCCTACGATCCCATTTTGTTAAAAAGAAATAACAAATACATATACATATACTATGTATCTACAGTGTACACATATGCATACATACGTGTGTTTATATAGGCGTAGAACAGAGGCTGGAAGAGGATTCATGAAGATATTAATAATGGTTTGATGGAGATTATGGACAGGAAGGTCTTTTTTAAAATGTATTTATAAAGGACAAGACTGCTGGTGCAATAAAAAAAAATAAAGTTTAAATAATTCAAAAGAAAAGAAATGGAGCGTTTTGCGTGGCAGGGCTACTCTGTGTGTCCATTCCGGGACAGCCAGGTCTTCCAGTCCGTCCTCAAATAGGAAGCTGGGGTCTGGTCTCCCTGTGAGCAATGGCGGAACCAGCAAAGGAGCTGCAGGCAGCCGGAGAGCGACAAGGCCAGGGGGCCCGGGGATCAGAAAACATATAGACAAGATCATGTGGGTGGTGTCTGCCAAATGACCCGAGGATGGCCCGCTCAGGCCTCATCTGGGGTGCCAGGGGCCCATTCTCACCCCACAGCCTCTCTCTCCCCCTCCCCTCGCCGCCACACAGTCCTCGCTGCAATCTTCCTCCCGCCTCCTGGGTGAAGGCAGGTGCCGCCCAAGACCCCGGCCGGCCGGCCAAAGGACAGATGCACAGGATCCTCCCGGCCTTCCTCCACCCCATTTACCGCCCCCACCCCTCTTCCTGCGGCGGAGTTCTTGTTTTAATTCATCTGAACTGGTTACAAAACCACACTCCCACGAATACATAAATAATGGATTGGGGAGGAGGAGGGCAATGTTTTAAAGAAATTCCCGCAGGGCCTGGCAAGGCAACAGCAAATGCATTTCTGCTGTATCATATTTAACTGTTTGCAAACTTCTGCTGGGAGGATGCGCAGCAGCTGCAGCGACTCCATGGTCCTTCCCCTGCTGGGGCCTAGCGAGTCTTGCAAGGGGGAGGTGTTAACAGGAGGGAGAAGGTGTCAGCTATGGCGGGCCGGGAAGATGGAGAAGGGAGCAAAAAAAGTGCCTGTTAGACTGCACTGCGCCAGACCAGGCTTCCCACGAGCCTAGCACCCACCGGGTTCCGGGCCGGGACTCCCGCCGCGCGGCGAGGCCCCTTTAAGAGCCAGCGCGCGCCCCCGCCCCGCGAGCGCTCACTTTCCCTAGCAACCGCCCCGGGGGAGGGGGAGGTCCTGGCAACGCCGCGCCTGCCCCGAGGGGTCACGTGACGGCCCGCAGCTGGAACGCGAGCGCGCGCCCCGCCGCGCGCCCGCCCGCCGGGGCCTGTGCGCTGCGGCGCGTGCGCGAGCGGTGCAGCACCGGCCGCGGGAGCAGGGAGTATTATGGGCTGTGGGTGCCGCTGAGCAAGATGGAGCTGTCTGCAGTGGGCGAGCGGGTCTTCGCGGCCGAATCCATCATCAAGCGGCGGATCCGAAAGGTGAGCCCCCTCCCGAGGCGGGACGCCTGGCCCCGCAGCCGGTGCCCGGGTCCGCGGCCCGTCGGGGCGAAGCGGTCCCGCCGACCCGGGCTCTCTCGCCCACCCCGGCGCCGCCGCCTCCTCGCGTCCCCGCATCCTCCCCACCCCCACTCCCCCCTTTTTTTCTTCTCTGTTTTTCAGGGACGCATCGAGTACCTGGTGAAATGGAAGGGGTGGGCCATCAAGTAAGTGCCGGTGGGGGCCGGGGGCGAGGGGGGAGGGGAGGCAGCGGACGGCGGGGCCTTTTTTCCCCTTGGGGGTGGGGGTGTAGGGGGGTGCACGTTTGCTGCTTCGCATGTGCCTCTGCCTGTTGGGTTTTCATTTTTATTTCGTGCATGTGTGACTCGGCAGGTACAGCACTTGGGAGCCTGAGGAGAACATCCTGGACTCGCGGCTCATTGCAGCCTTCGAGCAGAAGTGAGTTTGGGGAGCTGGCAGGGACGGCGGGGCCAAGGCTCGGCTGGGGCGCCGCGCGGGGAAGCGGGGGAAGCGGGAGCGCCGGGGAGGGCAGCGCGGAGTGGGGCCCGGGAAGGGGCTCTTTTTAACCTTTGGCGTTTCTCGGCCGCAGGGAGAGGGAGCGTGAGCTGTATGGGCCCAAGAAGAGGGGACCCAAACCCAAAACTTTCCTCCTGAAGGTAACCTGGCCCAGCCCCAGCAGCCCCCTCGCGGGCCCCTAGCCCTGGCGCAGCACGGGGCCTGCAAGGGAGGGACAGATCCGCGGCTGCCCAGGCGGGCGGACCTTTCCAGAGGGGCCCCAGCTGGGCAGGGGGTGGTTGTGAGGCCCCCGACGAGCCCCTGGCAGCCGGCCCTGGCCCGCGCCGGCTTCAGCAAGAGGGGCCTGGGAGTGGGGAGTGAGCGGGGAGGATAATCCTCGCTGACAAAACCGGGATTTGGGGGTTTGGGCAGGCCCGCCGGGCTCCGGCATGGGGATGGTTGAGGCAGGTGGGGGCTGTCCACCTGAGGGGGTGGCAGGGAGGTTACTTCTGCACATGCCAGGAGGCCAGCCCTCCCCTCTCCCCCAGCCTTGAGATGGGAGGGCTCTGCCTGGAATTAGAACCCATGGGGAGAGTAAATGTGGTTTCCCTGAGGGCTGGGAACAGGGAGCATTTGGGGGCCACCTGCCTCCCCGCCCCCCTGCTTCCTTCTCTCTTAGGATTTGCTCTGCATGCCTCCCCTCCTGTGGAGGGGAATCCAACTTGAATTTGACCTTAGATCACTTCACTTTGAGCTTATCACCTGGGCTGGGCCGCTGGCTTCTCCCCACCCCTGGCTGTTTCTGGAAAGGAGGATGGGGTGGGAGGGAGTGAAAGCGGAGCTCATCGGCCTTGGCAAGGGAGGGAGACCTAGCTCCGGAGGAAGCCATCTTAGAGGTTTGGGGGGGATTATCTAATTTTCCTCAGTGAGGAAGAACAGAGTCGGAGAGCGAAGGTGAGATGGCCCTAGGAGAGAGGCGAGGCTGCAGGCGCGCCTCCGTGGGACACCCCAGTCGCCCCAATAATCTGATGGCTCCGGGCCCCTTCCCACCCTGACAGCCTGTGTGGCGATTGGCAGGGGAATGAAGGGCAGGGAAAGCTCCGCAGGAAAACGACTGTACAGAATGCGCAACCTCAGCACCTCCAGTTTGTGCAAAAGGCTTAAAGCCCCAGGAGGGTGGGGGTGGGCCTCTCCAGCCCCAGCCCCACCCCCACCCCGAAAGGACTGTGCATGTGTAAGGGTTCGGACTTAAAGCGGAGCCGTGGAAGAACTGTCGGCGTCCAGAATTACCTATTTCCGTGACTCCTATTGCCAGCCGACACTCGTTAGGGGGACCCGCGGAGGAGCTCCCTCAACCCTTCATGCCTGAGAGGAGGGATGGGCGGAGCAGCTGGAGGGCGGGTGGCTGTGTGACAGCCTCTCAGCGCAGCTGGAGCACCCTCTAGCGGTGAAGTGAGTAATGACCGTGAGCTTGGATTTCACGAAATGCCATTTTCCTCCTTGATAGCTCTAGCTTCTGAGCTGGCTCTGGGCCTAACACGGTGCCGAGCCCTCACATTGATTATCTCCTTTAATCCTCTCAACCCTATGAAGGCGTAGGATTCTCATTATGCAGATGAGAAAAATCGAGGCCCAGAGAGGGGAGGTGACTTCTGTGAGCTCCTACCCTCCCCACCCCCCCAGCTTCCCCGCTTCATTCTGGCTCCTGGTCTTCACCCTGTCGGTCAGAGAGTCCACATCAGGTTGAAGGGACAAGGTGAACACACCCCAGAAACTGAAGGCTGCAGAGATGGGGTGGGGGGGAGGTGGAGAGGCAGATGAGAGGACCCGGACCCGGACCTGGACCTTACGAGAGTGATGTGGATATTTGTAAGGGGTGATGGAGACCAGCTTGGTCTGAGCCCAGAAGTCTGTGAGTCACCGAGGGGCAGTGTGTATAGTAAACAGATTCTACTGAACACTTACTTTCTGCCTGCAAGGAAACAGGAGCCCAGGAGGTAGGTTGTGATTTATCCCCACTTTACACATAGAAAAACTGAGGCCAGGGAGGTGGTGGAACTTGCCCCGGGTCACAGAGAGTCCGTGGTAGGGTCCAGCTCTTTCATCTGTCGTACATGCCAGCCCCTCAGAGCCGTGCCTCTCCCCCCGTTTACCCACAGCAGTAAACACTGGCTGTGGTTCACATTTTTAATTCACGGGCAGACCCAGGTCCCACCTTCACAGAATTCTCAGCCTAGGGAGGGGAGAGGAGCAGGAAGGTTAAACTAGTCTCTTTTCCAAAAAAAAAAAAAAAAAAAAACTTAAAAGCTATAAAGTAAGAAATGTTTCTCTTACAAAGTTTGGAAATCATACATTAGTAGAAGATTGTTGCTCATAAACCCTCTGTCCGTCCCACCCCCCACCCCCCATGGATAAATCTAGTATTTGTCAAGTACTTGCTGTGTGCCAGACCCGGTGCTGAACAGGTGTTAGCATGTTATCTGACGGTATGTGATGGGCCCCCCAGCCGGAGTTTCATCCCAGGTCTGAGGTTTACCCCCTTTCACCACACCCTGGGGACCATCACCATGGGACTGGGGCAGAGGCCTGGGAGCTCAGGAAGCTCGCTGAGGGCATCAGCACTGACCCCCTGGGGGATAAGAGGGGAAGGTTCCCCCAAACTCCCTTGGAGATGAACCTGCAAAAGGCCCTGTTTGCCAAGCCAAGGAAAGGCTAATTCTCCCGCCTGGGTGTGAGAAGGGATGCGAGGGAACCAGACCTTGGCTCCGCTGGCTGGCGTGCTGCAGGAGGAGCTGGCCGTCCTGGCATGGGGCAGGCTGGGCCTTGTGTGCTGCCACCTAGTGCTCAAAGGGTTGTTGGCCAAACAGCCCCCCAATCTTTCCCATGTAGAGTTAAAAGTGTGCTGCTACCACATTCCAAAGACCCCTTGTTAATTCAGCAAATAAGTCTGCAAACACTGCTTCTGGGCGTTGTGGTCAAATACGATCTAGTTTTGCCTGAGGGGCACCCGGGCCACCACACACGGACTGTTAAGTGCCTAGTGCTGTGGGGAGGGATATGGAGAGGCCCCAGACTGCAGATCCCGCTCCCGGGGAGCTCACAGACTGTCCGTGGGCATGTGTCCTCTTGGCCTCTGTCTCTCATGTGGATTGAGCCAGACACTGCCTAGCGAGTCTCCCCCACCAGGAGCCAGGCTGTCTGTAGATGACAGATCAGTCACTGCCTCTACCCTCTGTCCAGTCATTGCTTTTAATCTCTTGACCACCTCTGGGCTCTCCAGCCCCACTGTTTGTCTTTGTGGCACCCCTGTGGCAGGCCACCAGAGCCTCAAGCGTGGTTGGCTCAGAAAGGACCAGGGCTCCCTCCTCAGGCTTCATCCTCTGAGACAGGCCTGCCCCCGCCTAAGCTGTGCTCCTCTAGGCCCCAATCGTCCTTTATTATGTCGAAGCTCCCAGCATCCTCCCCGCCCGTCCCTTGTCTCCTCCATGGAGGGCAGCCCCTGTGTGTGTTCATAGTTGTAGCACCAAGCAACTTGTGACTACTACTTTGTTAGTGAAGGAAGGACTGGCTATGGTGGACGGTTTATGTGGCCTTGAGAGTTCCTTGCCCTGAACTTGGCAAGGTCTTTCAGGGCCCTGCCACACCCCCCATCTTCCACGAGGTGGTAGGTGAACTTCTACAGAGTGCAGGGGCTTTACAGATTTCACAGCTGGGGTTGCAGCAGCTCCCAGGAGCCTGGGACAATTCCCCTGGCTGCCCACAGGCCTGCTCAGCCATCCCACCCCACCCTGCAGGCTATCTTGGCTCCCATATGAGGTTGGTCCCATCCCTTGGCCTATCCCTGCCAGACCCTTGTCTCATTGGGGTGGATTCCAACCTAGGCTTTAGGTGCCAGCTTCGGAATCTGTAGGCACTGATTTGCTCAGACCCAGGCCTTGCACCACATCTGGGGCAGACGTGAATCAGACCCAAGAGGGGAAGTGGAAGGGGCTGGGAGCGTACAGGAGGGGCCAAGAGGGCCAAGTGTCTGTCCCAGAGGTGATGACCAGCCAGGAAGGGAGTCCAAGCTAGAGGTGCAGCCTGTTCAAAAGCAGAGAGCACAGAGCCCTTGGGACCCTGCAAGTAGGTCAGTAGCACTGGGGGGTGGGGTGGAGCAGGGAGGGGCCTCTGTCTTCCTCTGTCACAAGAATTGGTCCGAGGAGGAGTGCCAGGCTAGGCCGGGATCCTCCACGGAACAGAGTTAGGTAGGGGCTTCTAGCAAAGGGCTGTTCTTCCCACGCAGTGACCTGATGGCTATCTATACTCTGGTGTCATCGAGGACAGCTACCAACCCATCTGTCCCCGGGGCCCACAGGCAAGCTAGCAAAAGCCATGGATCTTAGAGCCCTGCTTGGTCGAGGGTACCCCTGCCCGCAGACCTGTGCACTTTGCTCCAGCTGTCTGACCCCGTTGCCTTGGGAGCTCCGCAGATGCTCCGAGATGCTCTCGGGCTGGTTTAAGGGCACAATGCTTGTGGGTGGCTGGCACCCACAAGCCAAGGCTCTGCTCACCCCGCGCTCTGCCCCACAGGCGCGGGCCCAGGCCGAGGCCCTCCGCATCAGCGATGTGCACTTCCCGGTCAAGCCCAGCCCCAGCGCCTCCTCGCCCAAACTGCACTCCAGTGCAGCCGTGCACCGGCTCAAGAAGGACATCCGCCGCTGCCACCGCATGTCCCGCCGCCCCCTGCCCCGCCCAGACCCCCAGGGTGGCAGCCCTGGCCTGCGCCCCCCCATCTCGCCTTTCTCCGAGACAGTGCGCATCATCAATCGCAAGGTCAAGCCTCGGGAGCCCAAGCGAAACCGCATCATCCTCAACCTGAAGGTGATCGACAAGGGCACAGGCGGGGGCGGCCCCGGGCAGGGGGCCGGAGCCCTCGCTCGCCCCAAAGTCCCCTCCAGGAACCGCGTCATTGGCAAGAGCAAGAAGTTCAGCGAGAGCATCCTGCGCACCCAGATCCGCCACATGAAGTTTGGCACCTTCTCGCTGTACAATAAGCCCCCGTCCGGCCCTCTGCCTCCGCCGCCGGCGGGCAAGGCTGACACAGCAGCCTCCCCAGGCCCCGGGCTGCTCCTGGCTGCCCCTGCTGCCCCCTATGATGCCCGCAGCTCCAGCTCGTCTGGCTGTCCCTCACCAGCACCGCAGTCCTCCTCCGACCCTGATGACGCTCCCCCCAAGTTGCTCCCTGAGACCATGAGCCCGTCTGCTCCCGACTGGCGGGAGCCCGAAGTGCTTGACCTGTCCATCCCTCCTGAGGCCGCAGCCACCAGCAAGCGGGCACCTCCCGACGTCCCTGCTGCCGTGGGCCAGGCACTTACCGCGGCCCCTGAGCCTGCCAGCGCCTCCTCCGAGCCTGAAGCTGGGGACTGGCGCCCCGAGATGTCACCCTGCTCCAATGTGGTTGTCACCGATGTCACCAGCAACCTTCTGACAGTCACTATCAAGGAATTCTGCAACCCCGAGGATTTCGAGAAGGTGGCTACTGGGGTAGCAGGTGCCACTGTGGGTGGTGGCAGCGGTGGGGTGAGCAAGTGAGGGGGCTCCACTGGGGAGGGGGGCTTGGGGGGGCCCTCCTGCCCAAAGTCCTACTCTTGCTCCCACCCCCGCCCTTGCCCTCAGACACCTCTGCCTGTGCTTTGCTTGTTTCAAATGGCTCGGTGTTGACCCCCCCGGATGGGGCCGGGCAGTTGGAGCCCCGAGGCCCCGTGGGAGCAGCAGTCCCAGAACAGGTTAGGGCTGGAGTGGGGCGAGGGCACTTGGAAGTCCTCCCTCTTGCCTCTTGGCATCCTCCTTGCCCGAGCATGGTGGGGCCTACTGGGTGGCTCCTGGGGAGCCCCCAAGCCTGGGGTTCAGCTGCCTCATCCGCATCCCACTCTCTCTCTCCCCAGCTTGCTTCCAGCTCTCGCACACAGCATCTGATTTCTCGGTGCTAACCTGGCAGCTGCGGGGCCCCTTAGGAGACCCCCTCCCACCGTGGGCACCGTCCCTTTCCCTCCCCTGGATGCCTGGGCAGGAGGGCCAGGGATGGCAAAGCCCCGTCAGAGGTTGAGGTGAGGCTGGCCTCGGCCCCTCCCTCAATGCCAGTGAGGGTGGCGGGAGCGGGGCCAGAGGCCTGGGTCTTCCTGCCCACTTCTGGACGGACAGACCCAGCTAAGGTGGTCCCCTTAGCTCCACCCCAACCCCGCTCCTTCCTCATCCCCGTCTCAAAGGTTGGAGGGTCTGGCAGGGTGCCCCCCCACCCCCGCCACAGCCTCCCAGCATCTAAAGGGCCCTTCAGTTCTTGACCAAAGGTGCTACAAGAACCTGCCGTGGAAACTTCCAGCTGGCGTGCCTACCTGCCGCCCCACGGCATGTTTGTGCGTGTACCTGGATGTGCACAGGGCCCGCCAGGGCTTTCCAGGTGGCTTCCTTGAAGGTTCCTCAGAATGAGGTGGTCAAAGGCCCAGCCGTGCTGGGGTGTGTGCCCCCACACCCTTCTCTCTGGGGCGGTCTGCCCCACCAGCCAGGCCTCTGCTGCAGACACAGCATGGTGGAGACCCAGGTGGAGAGGGGAGCCCCAGCCCTGGCCTTCTCCTTCCTCCTTGGTGTCTGGGGGAAGGAGGAAGCCTGGAAACCATTCCCAGGCAGTGGGCTCCTGCCTCTCCAGCCCCCCTCTCTCTTGCTTCTGACCGCTGAGGCTTTTCTCACAGCACAGCCTGCTCAAAGCAGTGGGAGGCCCTGGTGCCCAGGGCAGCTTTCCTTCTCTCTGTTGCCAGGGAGCTGAGGTGTCCATGCCAGCAGAGACCAAGGCCCCAGTCTTAGGCCAGGCACTGGGAGGGCGGGGAGGCCAAAGGGGGTGACCAAAGAAGGGGCCTATGTTCTTCAGGAGAGGGAAGGTATGCGGGACCTGGCTCTGGTGCACTGTGGGAACCCCTCCGCCCCCGCTAGCCCCGGGTCTCAGTTGGCATGGGTGGCATGTCCCTGAGCATGGCTCAGGGAGCTTCTTGGTGTGTGCTGCAAGAGGTCACAACTCAGAAGCATGATGGCAAAAGGTAGGAGGAGGCAGAAAGGGAATCCCGTTAGGTAAACAAATGCCTTTGTCCGAAGTATAGGAGGATTTGTTCTTCCAAATCTCCCTGTCAGGGGCTGAGGCATGGCCCCTGCTCCTCCCCACCCCAGGGTGTAGAACAAGGGCCCTCACAGGGTTTGGGGGGCTGGTACTCCTAGACCCCTCCCTACCCTGCCCTTTGTGTTGGCTCTGTGGCCGTCCAAGTGCCAATTGGCTTCCCCCCAAATAAGGGCTGGTATTTCTCCTCTGTCTTTAGAGGGGATTTCCCCCCTGACCCCTCACCCCAGGTGAGTGACCACCTGGGTGCCAGTTACAGGTGTTTCCAGAGACCATAGAAATGTGTTTTCCTGAGAGTCCGTGTCATTCGTGACTTTTTTTGTAAAGAAGTTGTGTTTTCAGAGGTGATTTTATGACAGGAAAGTGAAAGAATTAGTTTTGCAAAAAAACAAAAAACAAAAAAAGAGGAAAAAAAAAGAAAAAAGAAATAGAAAAAATATTGTGGGATTCCTATGGGGTCGGGGTGGGAGTGGGGGGGAGAGAAAGAGATATTTAAAGAAAAACTAGTACCGCAATGATTGCACAGGTGAGGTGGCGGTGTTAGGAACGGGGATGGAGGCCTAGGCCTGGCTGGCGGGGCCCTAGCATCTGGCTGAATGCTCGCTCTCCTTGGCCCCAGGCAGGGGACAGCCTCCCTCCTGTCCTGGGCCCAGACCCCACACCTACCCTCCTTCAAAGGGAAGGATGACCACTGGCCCTGAGGGAACTAGGCAAAGCTGCAGCGGCCAGGCAAATGGAGCAGAGATTTAAGGGGAGGTTGTGTGTTGGGGGGGGTCAGCGGGAGTCCCACTGTTGCATCATTGGTGACTTTGTCCAGGAAGGCTAGTGAGCAGATACAGTTGGGTTTTCTTGCTCTCTTCAGTTCGTTTGCCAGCTTGTTGGGTCGTCTGGTCCCTCTTCCTCATCCCCCCCAAAGACCATGACACCCCTGAGCTTCCCTGGCCAGGTGGGGATACAGGCTTCAGGAAGACAGGAGCTGTAGACTCTGGGAGAATCTTAGGTGGTGGCCCTAGGGGATCGGGGGTAACCACGGGGAGAGGGGGATCCTTTCTCTTTCCACAGGTGGTTTGCTGTGCCTGACGCTCAGCCATGTGGCCCCCACCCCATCTCAGCACACACAGAGGCACGCATGCACACTGCTTCGAGGTGGGCACCTCCCCTGGGAGGCCTAGGTGGGCACAGGGGCAAGAGCAAGTGGAGCCCTCCTTACCTCTCTCCCAGGGTGGCTCTGAGCAGGGACCCATAACTCTCCCCCCACACTCTTGCACGAATCAGCCTCCTATGGGCCCTTCCTCTCCCCTTGCTGCTTTTCCGTTTGCCTAATTACCAAGCAGAAGTTGCATTCTGGTTTGCTTTATTTTTATATGTGAAATACCCCCAAAGCCCAAGCTCCTCCCATATTCAGTATCAGTTGGGGCATCGATCGTCTCCCCATAATGCCACCCCCTCCCCACCCACGTGTCATAGGAAACAGGTGAGGTCTGGTGTCTCTGGTTTGAGATGGGAAGTTGGGGCACCTCCCGGTCTCATCCCCCTCTCTGACCCTCAGTGTGCCCCTCTGTGAAATGGGTGTATTAGGTGCAGGGCCTCTTCATAAAGCATTGCTGGTGTCCAGACAAGCTGCTGAGGATTCAGTGCTGGTGGAGGGTGCTGGCACTGGGGCCTCCAGCCTCCCTCCCACAGCCCCCTTTCATTCTTGCCTGCACAGGGGTCTGGGGCAGAACAAGCTCCATCCTTCCCCTGCTCTGGAAAGAAGTGATGATCGAGGCCCACCCTCAGTGTGACGTGGGCAGAGTGAGAGGGATCGCCCTATATAAAAGACCAGGGAACTGGGGCTCAGAGGCAAAGCTGCTTCTCTGGGGTGAAGAGCCCAGCTGCTCTGGCGTTTGGGGGAAAGCCCCTTCAAAGGTGGGGGCCCGGGTGCTGAAGCCACCACAGAGCTGACAGGCTCTCTGCCCCCCTACCCCACAGCCTGTGCCCCGCAGTCGTGGGTAAGGGGTCAGCCCAGAGGAGGAGACTTAGGTCTGAGGGGCTGGGCCGTCACCAGTGCTTTTAGCCTCCATGGGACCTGAGTGGACACACCACCCTTCCGAGCTTTTGGGGTTTTTATTGGCTGTTTGGGTTGGGTTTGTGGTTTTTTTGTTTTTGTTTTGTTTTTGCACTTGGCCCACGCCGGACAGTGGAGCCCCACGTGGTCAGTTCCACTTTCGGGCTCCCATGCACTAGCCCAAGGCAGCCTCTTGGAGGCTGGTATGGTTTAAGGAATCACTTTTAAAAAGAAAAGGAAAGTGTTTAAAGGTTTAAGTTTTTTTCAATCTGCATCTCCTCTCAGATTCAGAAAGAAGTTGAGGGGCTGAAACTCCAGGAGAGGGTTTCCCTAGCCTGACTCCGTCTTTTGACAGTCAACAAGGTGCCGGGATAGGGGGCCGGCAGAGTGCGGACGGAGGACCCCACCTCCCAGGCCCGCAGGGTCCCCCCCGCTGCACCTTGAAGGAGTCAGTACCCCACTCCAGCAGTGAGTGAGTGCCTACTGTATGCGGAACTTCAGCTAGGCAAAGTGGGGCTGGTGGTCTAAGGGGGGGCCCCTCGCAAGAGGCCAAGGTAGAAGGAACGAAGGGTTCTGGGGCCTGCCCCTGTTGTCGAGTGGAGTGCAGATGGACACTTTTTGTTCGTTTTAATTTAAAAAACACAAAGGCCTAAAGAAATGTATCTTATAATTTTTTTTAATTTTTGAAAAGCTCATTTAATGAATTGTGCACGAATGAATTCTATATATATAAAATATACATATATAGCTCTATATTTGGGGAGGGGCACTGTCTCTTTCTTTCTCTTTCTCATTTTAAAAATGAAGTGTTGTTGCCTTTGTCTGTGGTTCAACCATCCAGCTCCCAGCTGGCTAAACTTTGCCTCCAGTGGTTTAAAGAGAGGGAACTAGTTGGGTTGGCAGGAGACCAGGAATGGAGATGCCGCCCCGGCGTGGGGGTGGGTCCCCTCTGCCCCCGTCCACCTGCCCCCCTCCCAGAGGTCGAGGGTGGAGAAGACGGCTCGTGTTGGGTGTGGGTTTTGGTTCTGTTGTTCTGGATTCGGTTGTTTCTGGGCCGGGGGAGGGAGGGTTTGTGCCGAATACTCTTGTCTTGTACGTTTAGTTCTGCTGCTCTTCAATGTTGTATCAATGCCAGGAAGGGGGAGTGAAAAGCCTCTTTTGCCCCCCCAAATAAATTGTCACATTCCGAAGCTAAGGCCTAGCCCCTGGGGTAGGGATGTGTCTGTCTCGTTTCTTCCCGCCGTCCCCATGGTCCGTAGGAGCATCAGGCCAGGCCCCTCCCGCTGCAGGAGGGTTGGGGGGGGTGGCCTGTCCCTCCAGCTGTGACTAATTGCCAGCCCATTGTGAGGACCCCTGCACAGCTGAGACCCAGGTCCTTCCACTTCTCTGACCCTGAAAAAGGCCAAGTAGGTGGTGGGGGGAGGGGGGCACCCCTCCTTTTCCCCACTTGGAGTCACAGCCGCTGCAGAGGTGGGGCCTGTGGGGCTGGATCCCTAACAAGTTTCTCGCCACCAAGCCTGGAAGACCAGGCCGGTTCAGAGACCCGTTTTCTGGGCGCTTGGGCACCTCTGATTAGAGGAGCCCTCTCCCCATGTAGGGCGACCTCATGGCTTCAAAAGCTGCAGCCCCAGGCAAGCCCACACCTTCCTCAGGGGCCGCTGCTCTGCTCTTGAGCCACACCTGTGTGCATCCGTAGCAACCGTTTGCGAGGCCTCGAGCAGGTGTCACCCCACATCCTCTCCTTCATGGCACCCCCACCCCCTCAGCCTGAAATCCCAGTGTCTCCCTGCTCTGCTGTCTCCCTACCCTGCACACCCCCAGCCGTCCTGACAGGTCTTTGCAAAGCTGCCTGGTCGGCCAGGCTCCATTTTTGCCTGCACCACCCCTGCCCCTTCCCCACCAGTGCCACTGCCTCAAGCCTGTTGGGAGCCCATGGGAGTGCTGTCCCCACCCACCCTCCTCAAGGTCTCTCCAGGTGCCTCCCATGGCCCGCAGTGCCGCCTGGGCACCTGTCCCTACTGGCCCCTAAGGGGGCGGCCGCATCTCCCCACTGACAGCCTAGTGCCTGACACACTAGGCCGTCCCTTCAGCTTTTCTCCCCCTTATTGTCACCCCCTTACTGATGGGGTCAGTGAAGCTGAGGAGTAGCTGAGCAGCAGGCCTGGGACCCCAGTGCAACTCATCCAACTGGTCCTGGACCAGCAGGACAAATGGGAGTGTCGGCAGGGAGGAGGGAAGGTGGGCGAGGGATGTGGAGTCCCCCTGTGAAGTCAGGGCTGGCCCTCCTCCACGGCACCCACTCCATACCACCCCTACCCCTCCTCCATCTGGTCATCTTGCCAAGTTCTGTGTTTTGTTCTCCAAAAATCCTTAATCCGACTTACTGAGAAAACAGCCCTGAGCTCAGTGCACCTACTACAAGCCAAACACCAATGAGTGCTTTACTGTCTCTCTTCATCCCCTCTCCCTCCCCCTCTCTCCCTCGCCTCCCCCCATTCCCCCTCCCCGCTCCCCTCACTGGTGCCCAATGAAGCCTCACGTGAGGAGCCTCGTCACCGGGGAGGGGGCTTAGTTAAAGCAGTCGATGGATGCTGGATGCATTTGCCTGAAGCAGCACGGCTCCCAGTGGTGGGGGGCTGCCCTCCAGGCCTGGCTCGTGCCCACAAGCCCTACGCTCTCTGGGATTAGGAACACGGGGCTGCCCTTGTGAGGCTGGTGTGTTCAGAGATTTAGAGTCACTACTGTCCTTGGCCACAAATCCTGCCTTTACTAAGGACCAACTTCTGTGTATTTGCTGCCCATGAGTGAATATGAACAACAGCTTCTTTAAGGGGGATTGGAGGGTTTGTTTTGGGGGCTGGGCAGGACCACACAACTCAGCTCAGAAGGCAGGACGCCCTGTCTGAAATGCGTCAGGGTCATTGTTGGTGTCACGCGGACTCCTCTACCAGGTGGTACCTCTGAACGAGCCCCCACCCTTACCTCCTCTTCCTGGGCCTCACCAGGGGTAGGGGTGGGGGTCAGCCACGGGGTGAAGCTCAGGGCTGGGACAAGGGAAGGATGGAGGTTGGGATGGGTGAGAATGACAAGTTTGTAAAATTACTCCATTTTTTAAAAGCTCTAAACACAGTGGGGTTTTTTGTCCTTGTCAAGCTCTGCCTGAAGTGGAGAGGGGGGCTCAGCGTGGTTGCATCCTAATGGCAAGCCCCCCCCGCCCCAAGCCAGATCACAGGCCTGTGTGCCCATTCTGCACCTTTTTGTTCGGGCTGCTGGCTTCTGACAGTTCACACTTCAAAGAGAGCTCTGGCTCAGAGAGCTGAAGGATCCTGATCCAAGCAGGGGGTCTGCAAGGGAAGCAGCAGGGGAGGGGCCCCACCCTCCAGACAACCACAGGCTCTGAGGCTCTGCGTGCCTCTGCATCACAGGAGGGATGAAGATGGAAATAACCCTGGTGAGCAATAATGAGACTTGCACACAGCAGAGGCAGTGGGGATGGTAGGAAGTGGCCAGAGTTGAGAGAATTTGAAATATTGAAGTTTGTGATTGGCTTTCAGGGCTTGCAAGAGGGAACCTCTGAAAACCTCCCAGGTACCTGGTGGGCAAAGCAATGGGTGTTGGTGCCTTTCACAGGCAGGCTGGGGAGCCTGGAGGAGGAGTCAGCTTGTGAGGAGGGGGAGTGCAGCTTGGGTGTGACCCCATGGGTGTGAATCAGGAGGGATTTTGACCCATGGATTTGAGGCTTGGAGCAGCAAGTTCCTGCTCACTCAGGCACTGCTAGAGAAATCTGTCCCTAGATGTCACCAGATGCCCTGAAAGGGTCACTAGGGACTTAGGTGCTTCACTCCAGGGGCCCCTGGGATATCCAGCTCCTGCCTGTCACTCACTCCACAATCTCATGCCTTTCATGTGGGTGAGGTTGTGGAGCAGGTGGCTGGGGACAATGAACTCCATTAGCACTTCCCAGGGTCACTCAGAAGCTGAAGGAAGGGGAACCCAGGTCTTGGGTGTGGTGGATGGAGCCTTCTGATGGGATGCTACCCAATACCTAGAGATTCTGGCTAAAGTGTAACAGACATTCTGTTATATACCCAGCTGACTTTCCAAGGTAGTAAAGAAATCCCTAGGGACCATAAACAAAGAGGAAGCCAAAATCAGAGTGATATGCAGATCACTGCATCCTTTGCCCTGCAGGGTAGGTCTTTGGGTGACACAGGGACAGGTGTGGGGAAGCATTGGCCTTTGCTGATCTTGGTAACCAAGGAGCTTGGATTCTACATCTATATAAAGGATGGGAGACAAGGTCTTGAACCCTTGCCAAAAGAGATGTGAAACCTAGACACCTGAATAAAGCATATCTTCAATGAAAAGGCAAGTGGAAGAAAAAAACTCTTCGGTTAAAAAAAAAAGTCATCAGAGAAGTTGTCTCACTTTTGGTTCTGGATGGAAAAATAAAAATGAAGTCTCTCCGGCAGCCCCGGTGGCTCAGCGGTTTAGCGCCGCCTTCAGCCCAGGGTGTGATCCTGGATACCTGGGATCGAGTCCCACGTCGGGCTCCCTCCATGGAGCCTGCTTCTCTCTCTCTCTCTCTCTCTCTCTCTAGTAAATAAATAAAAAATCTTTAAAAAAAATGAAGTCTCTCTTGAGAAATTCTGACTCAAGACCTTCCTAACACAAATTTGAGATTTGAGTTGGTATTACCCACGTGGTCTCAGCACTGCCAGGTCTGGTAATTAACATATTGAGCAAACGTGGGATGTGTAACACCCACCGAGCACGTGGCAATAGTAAATGCAAGCCTCTCTGGAGGGACATTTCCACAATGGGATACCCTTGTTAACGTGAGCTTGCAATCCAAAATTATAAGACATACAAAGAAGCAAGCCACAGAGACACGCAGCAGAATGACAGCCATGTATAGAATCCTGCACCTGACATGTCATTTTCAAGCACACGCTGAAGATTTCCATATATTACCATGTGCATCATGCGACATGATATAAAGCAAATCCCAACAAATCTCAAGAAATTGTCCTCACCGTTCATGTATAATTATTTTCTGTTTTATTTATTTATTCATGAGAGACACAGAGAGAGGCAGAGACACAGGCAGAGGGAGAGGGAGAAGCAGGCTTTGCACAGGGAGCCTGACGCGGGACTCTATCCTGGGACTAGGGGACCATGGCCCGAGCCAAAGGCAGACGCCCAACCGCTGAGCCACCCAGGTGTCCCTAATCATGTATAATTAAATAAAAAATCAATGGCTAAAAGAGAACTGAAAAACTAAGCCTCATGTATTTGGATAGTAACCCACATCTCTCATTCCCTGGCATCTTGCTCCTTCCCCAAACTTCTGAAATCTCTTTAGAACAATGAGACTCAAGATGAATGTGGAAGTGTGAATACATGGTGGACACACAGGAGGTGCACAGCCAAATGGAGTTGATGCTGGATGGGAACAGGTCCCCTGTGGGCCCTCTAGACGGAATATGACCTTCATTAGAGCAGAAGACCAAAGTCTTCTCTGTCTCTTCCAAAGGCTGAGCTCAGAATGTGACAAAGACACAAGCCTCCATTTAAATGACAGCTGCTGGTGATCAGCCTTTATGAGCCAGAAGGAAACATCTATGCAGAGCCACGATGGGCTGATAGAAATGGGACAAAGCAGGTGGCAGGGGTTCTTGGTGCTGTGGCATAAAGACAGGCCCCCCACCAGCCTTCTGCCCACCTCATCTCATGGTGTGAAATCCCAGCACGAGCAACACGCTCTTTTGGGGTGGATTGGGAGGTCCCTAGGGGTTCTCTGTTAAGGCTCTGATGCTCTCGTCTGTGAGCAAGGCAACGGGACACACTCTGGAAAAGGCAATTGTAGACTGTCCCCCACAGGGACTCATTAAAGTGAGCGTCTTCCCTTGGCAATCTCTGCAGGGCCCCGTGGCACAGTTTCCATGTCGTAGGGTCCTGGCGGAGGCTTTTTATCCTCATCAGCCCTGACCCGCTCCCCCATACTCATCCCTCCTCCGTCTGTCTGCCTTTCACACCTCAGTCATCATAAAGAGACCCTCGTCCGGGTTCAGGTGGCCGGGTCACTTCCCCCTCTCCAGTCCTTGGTGCTCCTCAGCTGTATTGGAAGACGGGAGCCCCTACTTGGCAGGGTTCCTTGGGAGGCCTGAGGTGATGAACCCCAACGGGTTTTGC